TGAATCGTATTCAAAAAGCATTACAGTTCATTTAGGAAACATTGGATTATGAAAACCGCAAGTTAATAATTGGTAGGATATCTGGGAACCTAAATAAATAGCATGCATTAAACACTGAAACCAAAGGGTAACCTTCAAATCGCTTATGAATACAGGTCAAGGTCATCACTTCTAATTATGGTTTCTATGGCTTCTAACCCTAGTGTGAATAACTTCGAGGACATAGGGATGGCAACTGTAGAAAATAAGCCTATGGCCGGCTGGGTGGACAAACGTTAAGTGAAAAGTTTGATAATTGCTTTTGTGATAGCTAATTGCAGTAGCGTAATACCACAGAACAGAATGCAAACGTCCGACTTGCTCCAAGTAATTCCCCTATTAAACCACGGGTCGGAACCTTTGCTCGTAAGCAACCTGTGTGCATGCAGATCTGACCAGGTGTCCATTTGAACAACATGAAAAACACATAAGCAGCGAGATGGAACCATTTCACACAGTTCTGTCAATCGCATCGTATGTACCATAGTCGACAAAAGAGAAGAACAAATAAGGCGATAAACACACTGCCCATAAGTCGAATGAAGTTTACTCATTTACATAAAACCAGAATGGGCTTTAAGTGGACGCCAAAACATGAAAGAGCAAAGCAACGGCTTTTATCCTGGAGCCAGTCAACGGACTTTACTGTTGACAATCGACTACACGGCATTAAGAGAGATAACTTTAATATGATACTAAAGAAGAGGCTAGTTTTGTGGTGATCATTAGTTGCGGAGTTTTACCACTCGGACGCTTATTGGCCTTGTCCACCAGTCGAAAGTAAGGGGGTTTCCGAGTTCTTATCCGTTTACCTCAAATAAAACTCAGTGCAACCGCGAATATACCGCTAATTTTAGAGAAAATTTAGTGTTATTTTGTGTGTCGGGTGTAATAGGCTTGGGACGAGTGGGAGAATTTCCAGTTGACCTACATGATACATTCTCTTTGGGGTATTTTGAGGTCCTGATTGTACCGAATTTCCAGGAATACTGCTTTAGAACAAGATGGTCAGAGAGTTTATTCGTTCTGGCTCGTCAAGCTTCAGTGCCATTTGGGATTGCGCTTTGCTTTAGCGCTTGCCAGATGTCACCTCACGGTTGTTTTGGTGCAACGTTCGTTGTGCCCATTTTAGGTCGTATAGCAAGTTTGCAGATTGATATAAAGCCCTGATTAGAGGTATATCATTATTTTCCGTTGGCAGGAAGCTAAATTATTTGACGTACTGCCCAGTCTAGATTGGTTTTCCAATGAACAAAAGTTGTTCAAGTTAGTCAGCATCTCTTGTTAGTAAAAGGCCCATAAAATTTTTGAGCACTGTAATAACCCCATCTGTCCATCCCAATTTTTATATAATGTGTTGCACAGGGTAGTTGATTAGACACTACTAAGAACCTAAGCATTTCAAGAATGTCATTTTATTTGTATAACTGCTACGAGGACAGGAATCTGGCTAATATTTCTTGTCGGTTGAAAACTGATGTAATAAATCGTAACCAGCTTACAGAAATCGAGAGTTTTTTGAAAGAAGATTAGCCCAAAAACTCACATGTGATTACCTTGCCCTAAAGCCGATGGGGAATCGTGAAGTTGTTTTCTAGATACCGTTTTTATCAATTAGGTGAGGCTTTCTGTAAAATCAAGTCGAGGGTGACATTCAGACGGTAGAGATGTGAGAAGTATAGGAAACATCAGACCATCCACTGATTCAGCAGGTGAGGTATCTATTTAATTCAAGCAATTTCACAGGTTATTTAGGTAACTGTAAAGCTTCTAGTTTGGCGTTGTTGGTGTTAAAATTCGTACCCTAGGGTGTATCATATTTTCCTGCAAAGTATCATAACGGTTTGGGATTTAGTTCATTGCCTTTACTTGTCACAACGACTTAAGAAATCGGTCAATAGATGCGTATGAAATATTCAAAAACTGGAATGTAGCTGGTATTGCAGTAGGCCGCAATCAATAAAAAATGTAAGGGATACTGGTTGACCGGTTAAAAATCTAAAAGAGCTTCTCAACAGAAATTTTTATTGCCAGTTGTCTTTTCTGTCTAGTATAAATTTTCGTTTGTAGCTTGATATGGCCACAACAAAATGTCATTAGTTACCTCACCAGAATGGGCATATAAAAGAATTAGCTCACCACAAGAATCTCGAGAAAAAAGGGAGAAGAACGGCATTTGATTAACATCTGATTTTTCATTTCCAGGACACCAACCAAACCAGGTAGCCTGGGTTATCGAAAACCGGCCTGTTATAGCCAGTTATGTCAAGTCACATCAAATGTCCGGTGAACATTTTGCGGAACGATGCTCCTCTTCGGAAGATTTATTGTTAGACAGGTATTCGGTATTCCGTCAAGAAGAGACCGGACCTTGCCGTGGTTTGACGGTTCGCTCACCTCAACCACCCAATGAGCTATACTGGGGGGGTCCTCGCCATACACACAGAGTCTCTCATACCAGGTTGGTCAGTGGTCAGAGGTCTGACAAAACTTAGTCTCATGGTCTTCCAGGTTGAGGATTAGGATATGTGGCGACTTGTTCCATATAAATGGTAATGCATTAGCATTCCCCACCAAATGCCGCTGCCTTGAGATTAGGCTTTTAAGTCAACGGCTTTTGTTGAGGACCCTAATCGTCCCCCTGTCTAGTTGTGGGCGCCCTGGAAGCCCACGTACAAAGTCGATGATGACGATGATTCGGAGAAAGTCTAGCCAATCAGACCAGTAAGCAAGAAAGAGGCGCGATGCACTACTCCTGCTACATTGTCTACTTCCTGAAAGTGGTTAGCCCGGCTTTGTACGGTACTTACTGAACAAATACGGATTCTTTGCTACTCACAACCTATAAGTAGCCACTAAGGAAAATGGAATGTCCTCCAAACAATCGATAACGCAGAGGCTGATGGTGAGGTGTCCCCCGCAAACAGACAACCGTACAGTCACTGGCAAGTGAAACTCAACTTTTGGTAACTTTACTTGGGAGCCTTTGAGTTTTTATCTGTGACTATGCTTCCTATTAGGAAAAACCCCATCGCACAGCATCGATTTCAGTCCTGACAACTACTCAGTTACTGAAAGTTCCAACTCACGCCCTTTTAACATATAAAACAGGGATACTGGGTGTGCTTTATGTATTGAGCACGCCCAAAAACACGAAATCAGTCCCACAGAAGAATCAGTCTCTACGGTAATTACTCTCATTCTGAGCACTATGCACGAAATTGCCCAGGAGGAGAGTGAAGAAGGAGATAACCATCTCTGACTAACTAACTAACTAACTAACTAACTAACTAACTAACTAACTAACTAACTAACTAACTAACTAACTAACTAACTAACTAACTAACTAACTAACTAACTAACTAACTAACTAACTAACTAACTAACTAACTAACTAACTAACTAACTAACTAACTAACTAACTAACTAACTAACTAACTAACTAACTAACTAACTAACTAACTAACTAACTAACTAACTAACTAACTAACTAACTAACTAACTAACTAACTAACTAACTAACTAACTAACTAACTAACTAACTAACTAACTAACTAACTAACTAACTAACTAACTAACTAACTAACTAACTAACTAACTAACTAACTAACTAACTAACTAACTAACTAACTAACTAACTAACTAACTAACTAACTAAATGATTAACTAACTAACTAAACTATCACTCTAATTTCTGAAAAAATCAGCATCCGGATGAACCAAGAATAACGAAATTCACTCAAGTTTCCAGTCAATTGGAAAATGTTTGGGACCGATTGGGAAGTCATCGTTTCAGAGGGGGTTGGTAAATCCACCGATTGTTTACCAAACCCCTCTGAACTAAACCCCTCTTTACTGTAAAAACGGAGCCTACTATGGCTACTCCACTGAGGCATGCCTAATAATTCCCAATTAGGTTTAAATATCTCATGAGGTTGATTTGTTTGGTCGTAAAATGTTTGTTCGTAAGCCGTGAAATTAATTCCACTGGGTTGAATTCGCCGTTGTATGAGCGATATATGCGCTGATTACTATCAGTAAAACTCATCAGCATTCACTACCCCCGAACAAGAAATGTATCATGTGTTCCATAAGTTTGACGGTTGTTGATGGTTTATTGTTCAAGGAAAATTCTAGTTACTTATCGATACATGCATTCATATTTCACCATATCATTACAGAGTTTAGACTTAAAACGTTCAGTTGTGACCCACAATTGGAGTCATTGTTGTTACTGAAGTAAACCGAGGTCCATCTTCCAGGACGAGACTTGGTGCCATTGAGCAAGATGATAGGAGCCCAGATAGAGCAGAAGTTTTTTAGTTTGTCTTCCAAGCTGGTTAATGTGATGGCAAAGGTTTTATCGTTAACAGAGTTGACCTCAGTGCGTTGTTAAGGGGTGGGGCACACAAGCGCTGGCCAATCGGTATGCACTGCCTTGTAATGCACTGATGATATCACCTCGACTGGAGATGAAACGCCTGAAATCAAGCTGTCCAGCTCAGTAAACAAACAAACCAACATGAGGTATCCAGTGATAAAATCAATACACTTATTCACTAAAAGGTGGTTTTCAGGGAAGACTCAATTGAATCCCGGCTGAATATTCCAGTTATACTAGTCTTCAAATGAACGTACTACACAAAGATTGCCAGCTTCGATGTATCGCGGGGAGAAAAACAAGAAGCGACTTGTGTGAAATCTGTGGTATAAAAGCAATGTGGCTGGAATTCACTGGGTTTTCCCGTTAATCACCCATGTTTTGTGAATGGGTGTTCAACCGGAACAGAGGGATGACGGGCACTTGAGCAATGGCCTCACATGATGAGGATTCTGAAGGCTGAGACCGATCATGGCCTGTCAGAAAGCTTTCACAAACCCTATGAGTAGTGAACTGCAACAGGGAAACTAAGCTATTCGAAATGCCAAAATAGTCACAATTTCTAGTGCAAGCGACTTACTTGTTGTGTAAAGCGATTCCTTCGTTATTTAACACGGTATCAACCATTGCAAAAGTTTTGGCGATAATCTAGTTATTCCAGTTTCCAGAAATACCAGTCGAATCGTAGTTGATCAGTGAGAAAACGGAACGCACGATACACAGCTGGTTGTTCAGCAGTGGTCAACAGAAATCATCGCAAAATAGCTCAGGCTCGCCTGACGTTCGTTTATATGATGTGAGAAAACAGAATTCCAGTGCATGCGTGTCTAGCAAGTGACTCAGTAAACCAGGCGCAACCTTACAAGGTTGCAGCACTCTATTCGATCAGATTGATTGTTTTCCTTTCAGTCAACACTAAGTGTGTCAGTAGAGCAAATACAAACGTGTAAGGGTACGCGAAGGAAAGAGTCATAAATTGTTAAAACCAACCAGCGTACCAAGTACTATTGTGGCAGTAGTAAGAATCACAGAGCAAATTTTCTTTGGTATACTCAAATGCATGTGACTCTGGTGCATTGCGATCACAATGCAGTCAGTGTATTCATCATATACAGACAAGATTGTATTGGTTAGGTCCACTTTGAGTCTTTGCGGAATTTGTAGAACTCTTTTCTGCAGTTCGACTAAAAACCTGGGGTCATTATCATTTTGAGCGTATCCCACAAGAGGAAACAGTGAATTAGGGTTTTAGCTAACATAGAGCTCCGCAAAGGCACGAAAATTTAAATTCCTCAAAACTGACACGCAGTTCAAGCATTCAAATGCTACTCCTGAATTGTTGCCTATAAACAGACAAACTTCCGTTGTTGATTGGAATGTGTGAGAATCCCGATACTTGCAACTAGGACCGAGGGGACAGCAATACATTGCACACATCTATTCACAAGAAATGTGGAGAAACCTCCAAAAAGCCTTCATATTTTTGACTCGCTTACTAGCCTAGCGAAATTGTCAGGCGCAGACAAACGGAGATGGTATGGAGGCAGATTTCTGTCAACATCTGTGTACATCTCTAGGTAAGCAAGAAACTATGGTGGAAATAACACGTAAAATGTTAAAGCTTGTTCGATTTAAATTCCGATCACACCTCTTTTCAACACAGTCATGCCATCCGCTGAGACGCAAGAATATGGATATACAAGTTTTCTCCAACAGTGGATAGATATAACAAAGGAGATTCTTTCGACATATACACTCATTTGCACATCAGTTTGATTTTCACGAGAGACACAACAAACGTCTATGATGTTCTCCGACTGAATTTGCTGCCCAAGGGCCGCCTCATGTTTCACTTATTCCAATATTCTAGTTTTTCATAAAGAACACCACTCAAAAGTTCACTGTCAAAGATTTTAGCGAGGTAAACCGTTGAATAGTTTTCAACAAACTTGTGGGCAGTTTTCTTCACCAAAGGAATCATTCTTTGAGACTTTGGCAGCCACTTCAATTGGTAGGTCGTCTTTTCTTTTTTTGTTAATTCCGCGGTGTGCAAACATGTTTGGCATAACTCTCATTTTACCGTAGTTCATGTCTACCATGAAAATGTAAAAAAAAGAAAAGTGCAAGACAATTAATTTGTTTTTCTGGTTTTATAGCTTGAATCTGGGGGTAGTCAGCCGGGCAAAAGCAGCACTTGGGTCCTTGAACAACATAGTAAACTAAAATTCCTTTTCAAAATGTGCTGATTTTGCAAGGATTCCCGAATTACAGCCTTTTGAGTTGGGATGCAGCAATGGTTCGCTTCCTGAAGGAAAGTTTGTTGTTGACGTCTTCCTTTCGAACTGGACTTTGACAAATACATGCTTGCACCACTCCAAGCTATGCTCTCATTTGTCCAATTCAGCAAACGTTGGCCTGAAGTGTATACTGCAGGATGATCTCCTATATTTATTGAGAAATATGCGATTAGATGCGCAAGTTGTAGAGGAGTCAAGGGACTAATTTCTTTGTGCTCGTGGTCTTGGTGTGGTTTGATCCCCCGAAGCCCCGGGCTTTTCGCATTCGTGTGGCGGATGTAATGATAAAGAGTTAAGCTGTTATCTACAAAGCAGATCTCTCATTCCGTGATTCAAGTAAAAACTTTGAATTTTGGGGATCTTCGGCATAAATTCGTGCAACTTTTCAGTACTTTTTAAGTAACATGAAGAGAATGGAATTTTTAAAATGAACTGTAAATTATGGAATGCTTAGTCATAGCGTGGACCCGGTTCACTTCACAAAAAAGATTATTTCGTAATAAGACAAGCATATGGAAAGTTGCACTAAAGCGAAGGATTAATTAGACTTAGTTACGAATCAAGTTGATATCATTCTGTTAGCTAATACTACCACTACCAGATCAGCGAATAAACCAACCAATTCAACCCACCAATGTGATCATGGCATAAGGTCATAGATGAAAATAGACTGCATGTTCTGATGGGGCACTTAAACGAACACAAATTTCATCGGGATAATTTAGTGAAGATTAACTGGATGACTTAACTACTGAGTGTCAACAAATCCACCACAGAAGACTTTCTAAATGGCCGGGTCATCCCAACAGGTGACGGCAGCATTGAGTTGGTTGTAATGGAATGGCATAATCGGAACACGCATGGACTGTTGAAAAAATATGACCTGAAAATAATGGTTTCATAAAAAATTGGTACATTTGTTGCCCAGTAGCATCTCGCTTCGGACACTGTCCAACTGGCGAGTGATTTCTAATTTTCATTCCAAGTGCGTTATTTTCATCCAGCTAATAAAAAATATTCAGTTATATGCAATTCGTCACTGCTCTCTTTCGAATTTTGCGGCAGAATCACCGCCGGGTTACCTCAGCTTGTAGGCGAATATCACCGGCAGTAGTGCACAAAACCCTCACACTTAGTTTGGGCACAGATATCAAGTGGATCAGCGTGGGTGCAGACACTCAATGAAATCTTGAATTCCCTTCAAACAAACCATCACACTATTGCTCGTGCGTATTGTACTAATTGGCCAAAACTTCAGGTAAAACCGGGTCCAAGAATGGTTTACCGACATTGAAGCACTTGCTTGTGATTGCACTCACCAGCAAGCAATACTTTGCGAAAGTTGAGACAATTGTAGTTAGGTGAACAGTTGTTCATAATGGTGGTAACGACTCAGCAATGAGCATTTTCACCGAGTAGTGTGAATTGCACTTAGTCGGGAGTTGGTGTACACGCACAGCATACCAAGATGTGCCCATCTCTGACAGTGACGCAACTAACGCATTCACCGTCAGCTTAGATGAGATCATGGACCATTCTAATGAGAAAGTTTAAAAGATTATAGTTACAAAAGGCACAATAACTAAGATGTTTTTGCAAACAGAATGATCCGATCGATCAGTCAGAGTAAAGATTGAAAGCGAATCAAGTGCAATTTGGTGCCGTCCGGGCTGTCAGTCGGCTTTTTGTCAAATCGTCCTGATTTGTTTGTGTTTCAGAAATGTAAAATAGGATGGCCAATATTTTGTATGAAGAAAATAAAGTCTAATCTCTTTAAGAGAGTGAGACGGGAAGAGAGTACTCAATAACTCGATGATGCAAGTAGAGAATTTATTCCGCTGATTCACCTTGCACTTAACCATAGCATAGCGGTCGGAAGTCCGACAGGGTACACTACTGAAATTACTTTAATCTTGGCACCCAACTTGTCCATTCAAAACAATCACAGCAGTTGAAGTTCTGTAACATTCTCAGAAGATAAGTGATGGCTTGGAATGAAAATTCCATTATACATTCTCAATGAAGACTTGGATTGTCTTTTACGTTCACTATATTTATCAGGGGCATGGAAACCGCTGACATGGTTTGTTTGTCTATAATTCGCCGTTCATGGTAAAATCCGTGTTCCTACCGCGGCGATGAAATAAATTGATTGTGGTTCTGTAGGCTGATTGGCGCTTATATAGATGGCTCTGGATTACTGCAGCTGGGTAAGTGTCCTGCAAAACCCATTTCCAAGTTGCTTATGCCGACCGCATTAAGTGTCATACTATTTATATATTTGTAATGTACTACTCATAAGGTTGCTGAAAACCCATCGATAGACCACGACCGGTTTCGCCCTTCCTGGGACTCATCAGGTAGGCGCAGTCCCCGGGTTTCCGTTAACCTTATGTTCCACTTGAAACCAAATTGTCTTACTATTTCTTTGTAATGTACTACTCATAAGGCTGCTGACGGATTTTCAGTAACCTTATGAGTAGTAGATTACAAAGATATACATACATCGCGATATCTCGAATATCTTAGCGACTGAAACATGAGGCGGCCTGGTGCAGCAAATTCAGCTTCCTGAAAACATCACAAACGAGAGATTCAGCAGGGTTCCAGGTGAGTCTCTCGAGAAACCAAATTAGTTTGCAAAGGAGTGTATATTTGTCCAACTATTCGTTTTGGTAGAGTGTAGCTAAACAATTCTTAAGCGACTTAACTATCACTGCAGGCACAGCCAAAATATGCCATCAGCAATTAATGAATTTTGAATCACTTGTTATTGTGCACTATTCACGTCAGTCATGCCATGCCTAACTGCTACGTACCAAACTGAATCACAAGAGCATTCATAAGATGTAACCCGTCAGTTTAGGCCTGTATGATCCCTTGAACGGCGACAAGTTTACTTGTCCGACAGGTCGGCTGACTACAGGAGTTTTGTACCGATTGAAAATATCGGAACAACTATCCACTGGACGACGGTACTCAAGGTTTCCGTCGGACGATAACGACGAAGTCTGTCAGGTTCCAATGTCCGGACGCCACCACTTTTCTGCGAGCTCATTAGCCGATTTGATAGATCCAATTGGGCATCCATGACTAGCTGCCACGGCAGAATGTTACTGTTTTACCGCGTTGCGAGAAAATGGGTGGCTGGAAGAGATTTCAGGATTTACGTGCCGCATCGATTTAGTAGGGACTATAATAATGAAACCCATCATTCGGAATTGTGTCCATTAGGGCAACATATGCAGAACTACTGAAGAATTTTTTTCCGAGCTTCTTAGTTATTTCCCTGATGAAGTTGTAATCGTTCGTCATACCGCATTACATTTCGCCGACCCAGTATGACACTGTTTCTTCCCACTTATCAGGCAAACTGACACATTGGTGCGCATCCATTGATTTGCGTCCGATGACTCAATATCTAATTTCCGAACGGAGATTTTTCAGCT